TGAAAGTCTTCCTGCACTGAGGGCAGCTGTGGATTCCCTTCCTGTCCTCTTCATCCCAGAAACTTTTAATACAGTTCCTGCAGTAGCTGTGTCCACAGGCTGTAGTCACCGGATCCTTCAGTAGATCCAAACAGATGCAACAAGAGAAGGTTTCTGAATTCAGCTCATTTCTTCTGTGCGCCATTTCTCCTTTCTGTAGCAGCTGCAATGTTTGTACTTTGAACTGTAGTGATTAGACTATTGCCTGAACTGAAAGTGCCAATGGTGAATGTGTGTTGAGAGAAGGGAGTGGTTTTCAGTCTTAGTCATACATTCGGTAGTTTGGCAGCATTCATATCTTTATTGACAGAGTTATGGACAAATTGAATTGTGTTTGCATGTTCAGTACTGCTTTGAAACAGTTCAGTTACAGAAAACAGGAAAACAAATCCTGATTGTAAGTTTCTGAATTTAGGAAGCAACACCTATTTGGAAATGTAATGTCACCCCTCTGATAGGGAAGTAACCTGAGGTAGAACGTGAGGTTGAGAAAACCTCTTCATGTAATTGGGCTAGTCTAGAACTAGAACCAGTCTGCTGGAGAGGCAATGGACTCTGTTTTAGCCTAGAGTTGCCCTTGGTTAGAGGCAGTGGATATCCTAGCTTGCTGCCTGTACATTGGGGTTTTACTGGTGGACAATAAGTTTTCTTCCCTGTGCCTTAAAGTGGGATAATGAGTCTTGTGTATTTTTGCATTTACACACCAAAATGTGTAGTAAGTTCAGAGTACCCAGCCTTCCTGGAATCACTTGGTGGGATGATTCCTTTGTGCCTGATTACCGTTGATCTTCTTTCAGTAATCACTTGAATCTTTCCAGTCAATAGCAGCTGGTATAGTGGCTTGGCAGTGCGTGAGAAGTTTGCAATGTAGGGGCGGGAGTATGACAGGAAACCTAGCATTTTCCTTAGGTCTCCCACAGTCTCAGGTTTGCATTTTTTAGTCCTTGCACTGGTGCCAATTCAGCAGGGTCCATGCAGCCATCTTTGGATACAATCTTTCCCAGGAATTTCACCTTGTCCTTGAACACTTCACACTTTTTGGGGGTCAGCTTCACCCCGTGCGCTTGATAACGGCGCAGGACCTCCCTCAGATCACGCAGGTGGTCCTCAAATGACCTACTGTGGACCAAATTGTCATCCAGATATGGCTGAGATATTTCATCCCTCAAGCCTGCAAGGCACTCTTCCATAACTGCGCTGGAACTCCCGGTAATCAGCGCAGAGACGCAAACTTCCATCCTTTTTGCGCACCCAGACGATGAGTGATGAGTAGGGGGATCGGGATTTCTGAATCCATCCTCTGTTAAACAGGTCCTCCAAATACTCCTTCACCTCCTTATGGAGTGGCTTGGGAACTGAGATGTATGTGCAGCTTACTGGGGTTGTGTCATTCAATCTGATCTTTAACTTCAGGGAGGGGATGCATCACACATCGCTCTTATCTTTTGAAAATGCAACACACTCTTCACGTAGCACCTTTTTCACCTGCTCCTGCTGATCTGGGGTCAGGTAATCAACTGACACAGGTGGGTCCCATAAATCTTGGCTGCAACTGCCCACCTCCTTATACTCCCCTTTGTGCCGTTCTGGGGTGCTGGGGTGCTCCCTGTGTTTTCACTAGCACATGTCAACTTGCCCTTGTTTTCAGCACTTACTGGTCTTACGTCTACTGGGTAAATAGCCTTCACTTGCTGTAGTCGTCCCAACACTACATGAGGGAGGAGGGGGATGTCATGGCTGCTGCCATTCGTGACCAGAATAACCACCCTGGACAGGGTTCCCCTCTGCAGGCCAATGACAGTATCATTCAGGTTAACCCCCTCTGGTAGTTTTGAAATGTCCTCTGGTTGAACAAGAACCTCCTGTTTCAGGGGGAGGGGACCTGTCCTCACACTACACTTAACCTCCCGGCTTTGTCCAGCTGGAATCACTATCTTTTGTCCCCCAACTTTCACCACACCCTCTTCATCATTTTTGTGGCAGCGCTGCATGATGTTGATTAGCACTTCTGCTTTCTTACAATCAATCGAGAAGGTTTCCTTTACCACAGCAGGTGTAACATCTGGATGATGCTCCATTCCATCCTTTACAAAATGCTCAATCACATTATAGCCAATGATAGGTGGCTCTGCTACTCCTGGCTCTTTTGAGTCAAGCACGGGGACAACTAACTCTGGCTGCGGATCTCTAGTTGACCCCAGCCTAAATTTGAGCTCAACCCAAACTGCAAAGGGTATGGGTGTTTGGTTCGCTGCCTTTACCCACTAGAGCCTCATCCTCAACTAGGAGTTCACTTGTGCTTCTCAGTTGGATATGTGGAAAGCAAGACTTCCTCCAGTATATATATAT